TGCAAGGTCTGCTCGTGGGTGTGTTGGAAGCATCCCTCTGCCTTTCCCACGGGTATTACTTGCAGCTATTCTTACCTTAATTTGGTCCATGTAGTTACCTGCATTTACAAAAACCAAAAAGAATAATAAAAATGAGTCAGCCCGTGTCCTCGTCCCTCTGCCAGGGTCTTAAAGTCTGCCTTTTGAGTGTTCCCTGTCGTTGTCAAGATGTTATCATGAGTCTGGAAGGCTATTAGGAAGTGGTCCAAGTGTCACTTTTGAGACAAGTCCATATTCTGATGGAGAAAAGATGTGGGCACGGACACAGTCAACGGAACACGGGTCACCAGGGGGAAATTCTCGCATCCTCAAAGGAGGAATCAGGGAACAGAGGGCCAGCCAGGCTGCATCTTCTCATTGTCGGCCGTGCCCTGTTCCCGGGGTAACTGGTGAGACTAGCAACACAGACATGGTTTCAGGATGTGTTGATTGGGAAAAGCAAAACACAAACTTCCGTTGGAGGCTGGTTATTCCCCTGCAGTGATTAAGTGGGGCCAGCCCCATAGCAGGGAGGGAAGAAACCCGTACAATTTGTCAGGGAGGAGAAAATTGTGGCGTCTCAAATTAGATTTCCCCCCCCCTTCTTATTGTTGTTGTGTGACAGGTGCCCTAAACTGAAAGCTTTTTTTTTTAAAAATAGGTCAACATGTCTAAAAGCAAAACATATTTCCCCATAGCCTTGTGAAGGACTTGGCAGAGGTCAGAGCACCTCCTGGCAGGGACTGAAAAGCCCAGAGCCATTCCTTTGTGCTGTGACCCAAGGGTGGAGTTGTCAGCCAGGAGGTAGGAGGTGGGCCCCAGGGACCAGGGTAGGAACTGGAATGCAGTCCCTGGCCAAGCAGACCAGAGACAGGAGGAGGAGGAGAAGAGAGGGGGGAGGAGGAGGGGGGAGGAAGGGGAGGAGGTGCTGTGGTAGGAGGACTTATTTTCCCCTTTGCTTCCCCCTAGAGAAGCTATTTTCCCAATAAATAACTGGTGTGTCACATGAGATATAAGCCTCGTGAATTATTTTGTCCTTCTTGGGATCCAGGATTTTCTCATGAAGACTCTGACGGATGCCACAGACCTCCAGGGCACTCCCCTTCCTGAGGGCCCATCCTGCCCAGGCTCTCTGTCCCCACACCACGGAAGTCAAGTCCGGAGCTTTTTGCTTGACCTAATAACCCAGCATCTCTTAGCCTGACTTTTCTCCCTGCTTCTTACTGTTTTTGCCAAAACATCAGGTGGAGTGTGCTTGAGGAGTAATTCCCCAGATCACTTCTCCCAAAGCAGACTTCATGGACAATGGCAGCTGTCTAGGTGTGCCTGCACTAACGATTTTTCAGGGAGAGGGTCTTCCTTGGTTGAAATGAGGCAAGTCCCGAACTGAGCCGCTCACAGGGATCCACCATCCCCAGTTCAGTAGGATCACAACAGAAAGACAACAAGTCTGTGGTCACATGGGTTAGGGAGCAGTGATGGTGGTATACCACAGCCTCCGTGAGTTTGTCACACAGAAGAACCTGCAAGGGTGTCAGTGGGATATGCTGAAGGTCTGCCTGCCCAACCAAGTCTCTGTGTGCTGTTGTGCTACCCGCACGAGGCAAACCAGGGTCTCTGTCTGTTTCATGAATGCAGAGGGCGCCGGGAGCATCTCTGTGTGCATTCGTAGGACACACTCGGTGCCCTGCAGGAGTGTCACTATACTCCCAGGGCATATGCAGGAAGCATTCTAACCAACTTCAAGTTACACTACAGAGCCATAGCAATAAAGACAGTTTCATGAAGCGGAGTAGAGGACCCAGACATAAACTCACAGCTGCAGCCACCTGATTTTTGACAAAGATGCCAAAAGTATACATTGGAGAAAAGAAACCAACTTATTTAACAAATGCTTCTGGGGATATGGGATGTCCACATGAGGAAGAATGAAGCTACGACTCTGTCTCTCATCTTGTACAAAACTGATTTCAACATGGGCCAAACACTTTAAGACTGGAAACTTTAGAAGTCCCAGAAGAAAAGACTTCAAAATATAGGCACAGGCAAGACCTTCCTAAAAGGAGCCTAAGAAAGGAAACAAGACCAGGGACTGATAAATGGACATATAAACATATCGCATGAAATTGAAAAGCCAAAGACACAATTATTGAACCGAGACAGCCGAAGAGTGGGAAAGAAGTCTTGCTGATCTGATCGAGGATTCATATCTAGATTATATAAATAACTTTTTAAAAATCTAAATACTTCCCAAACCAATGACCCAACCAATTAAAGGAGACAATGGAACCACGAGAGTTCACAGAACACAAAACATAAATGGTCAGTAAGCGCTGAAAATGCCCAGCTTTGGCCACCAGGGAATGCACACTAAAGCTGCATTGAGAGTCTATTTTCTAACTAGAGCAGTCATTAAGAAATGTAACTACACATGCTATCCTAGGACAGCGGCAAAAAGTTAGCCCTTAGCCACCGTTGGAGGGGATGTAAATGAGCCCAGCTATTATGGAAATCAGTATGACGACTCCTTAAGAGAACTAGCAAAAGCAACAAAAGCCTACCTCCTGGTACAGACATAGAGGAATCTATTGTAGGCACATCACAGAGACACCCCCACATTTGCTTTGGCTTTTCTTTTTCCAGCACTAGTCACAATAGCTGAGTTAGGAACAAGCTTAAGCCTCCATCACTAGATGGATGGGTAAAGAATATGTGATCCATATATGCACAATGGAGTCTTATTTGGCCATAAAGAAGAATGAAATGATGCTATTTATTAGAAAAATGGATCAACTGGAGATCATAGTAAGATAAATCAGACGCAGAAAGACAAATACCACATCTTTTTTTCTCATTTGTGGTCTTGGAATTCTTTATGGACATATAAACATGTATTTGTAGATATGTATAACCATATGTATATAATGAAGAGGAGGGGGACTGGAGGAAGGGAGGAGACTTGAGGAAGAGAGGGGAGGAGGGTTGAAGGGAAAGGAGGAGCGCACGATGAATCCTTGCCAAGAACAACAGAGCGGGGGAATTCCTGAGCATGCCTGGTGCTGACGGGTTCAGGCCTGAGGCTCCTGCACTGTCATGAAGGAAAGGTCACACGCTTACACCCTTGCCTCGGGAGGAGAGCAGGTGGATCTGCTGCAGCACTGGCATTCCTCTTAGGGTCTTGAGTTCTGGGATAACTGAATTAGCTACTCGGGGTGGGTGGGGTTTCAGGCAAAGAGCCCAGGGATATGCCCTGGCCACTTCCTCCCAACCCTATGACACAGGAAAGGGTGTGGTATGAGGGTCTTGGGAAGGCCTCTCGTGTGTGTGTGTGTGTGTGTGTGTGTGTGTGTATGTGTTGTGTGTATGTATGTTGTGTGTGCGTGCGTGCGTGTGTGCTGTGTGTATGTGTGTGTGCTGTGTGTGTGTGTGGTGTGTGTGTGTATGGTGTGTGTGTGTGGTGTGTGTGTCTCCAGTTGACCTCCGGGTCATCACTATGGAGAGAGTGTGGTGTGTGTGTGTGTTGTGTGTGTATGTGTGTGTATGGTGTGTGTGTTGTGTGTGTGGTATGTGTGTGTGTGGTGTGTGTGTATGGTGTGTGTGTATGTGCTGTGTGTGGTGTGTGTGTGTGTTGTTTTTGTGTATGTATGTGTGTGTGTGGTGTGTGTGTGTGTGTGTGTTGTGTGTGTCCCCAGTTGACCTCCGGGTCATCACTATGGAGAGAGTGTGGTGTGTGGTCACCTGGGACCTCTGCGGTGGGGCTGGAGTGGAGGCTGTGTGTGTGCTTGGACTTCAGTGGACTTCCATCCCTGCAGTGGACTTCCATCCCTGCAGTGGACTTCCATCCCTGCAGTGGACTTCCATCCCTGGCTCACAGAAGGCTGTGCTGGGCCGAGAGTAAGCAAGGGGCAGGGAAGCTGGCTCCTCTTGGCTAGCATGTGTGCTCACAGGTACACACAGCAAGGGCAGTCAATGGCGGCCACAGCGGGTCTGTGGGTGAGACCTTCCTCCTGAAAGGCTACAGCACCCATGGGGGCTGTGGGGGTGACTGTGGAACCCTAGAATGTCCTAGGGTTCTGTATCCACACATGTCCTCCTCGCTGGTGGGGTGCAGGCTCTTTAAGGTAGGCCCTTATGCCTCCATGCTGGACTCGGTCAGGGTCAGGGACACAGTGCCTTGCAGCTTCCTTCACTATCTATGACTTAGAAAGGGAGCAGGTCCCTAGGCTGATCCCCAGGGACCTGGGAGTTGCCCAAGCGGTCAGCTTTAGGGCAGGCATCGAATGGCGGCAGTTGCAGACTTCAGCCAGCAGATGGCAGGGGAGAATTCAGTGTCAGCACTGTGTGGCCACATAGCCCAAGTCTCTGGCTGCTGCAAAGGAGAGACAGAAGGGTGGGGGAGACCAGATGGGGTGGGTCAGTGTGGCCCATTGCAGGATCTGAATGCAGTTTAAAGCATGGCCTAGAGCTGGCTAACCAAAATGGGCAAACACTCCAGCCTGCGGCAGAGGGCTTGGGCCAAGCAGACAGAAGTCCTTGGAGAAACAAGGACATCTTGCTTGACCTGGGGGGCCTAGAGCTGCAAAACGGGAGCACCCTACCTAGGTCCACAGCTGAGGGCTGAGGCATGCCCTCCCATCTCTTCTCTGCCTGGAGCACCCCAGACTACTGCCCCCAACCCCTCCTAGTGCTCAAGATGAGGGCAGCCAGCTGCCTGGAGGGGATGAGGGCACCGCGATGCCTGATGCTGGTGGTTCCTAAGCCTTGGTCCCGGCATGGCTGGGCATCCCTGTAGATGTCTCGGGAACGTCAATAAAGGGTGGGGTGGGGGTATTGGAAGGGAGTATGAAATTTATGTGGCCAGAAGTAGAGAAGTGGAGTAGAGCAGGAAACGCATAGACCAAGGAGAAGGAGGGTGGGAGGGTGGGGAGGAATGGGGCCAACTTCCGGGGCTGTCTCCCTCTGGCACCCGGCAGACCTGTTCTGATGGTTCTCATTCAGGTAGCCCGGCACACAGGTGCAAACCATCATTTCTTGGCGTCTCACTAGTAGGGAGAAGGGCTTCGGGCCATGGGAAGGCACGGTGTCCCCTTCAGCACAGGGTCTCTGCTGACAGGTAAGCAGACACTCCCCCGTCTGTGTGACCACACATGCATTCACTCTTGACAACCACAGCATGAAAGATGGGCTCTGCTCTTGGGGCCGGGCAAGCACCTGAGGTAAGGGAAAGTGTGGGAGGGAGAGATGGGGACTGCAGGAATGTAGACGGAATTCCAAGCTGCCCCAGGGGACAGTGAGGAACCTGAGGTGCGGGTAGCTACAATCACCTCAGGGCTCATCTCTTGGTGGCTAAGGCTGAGGGAAACTGGAGCCTGCCCTGGGCCCCTGCTGTGGCTTGTTGATGTAGCTGGGCGCTCTCCCCCTCACTGGGGAGGGTCAGCAGAGGTTGGAGGTCAGACTGTGGTTCAGCTTGGCTTGACGAATTTACTTTTAAACAAACCCCTCTGGGCTTCTCCCCTGAGGCCTGTCACATAAATTTCTATTTAGTGCCACTGGGTTTCCAGCAAGGGAGCTGCCAGGATGATTTGAGAAGGAACCAGGAGGTCAAATGGTCTTGTCTAGGGACTATGTAGACGAGAGCTTGGCGTTGGGTGCCAGATGGGGTTGTGAAAGGAAGGCTCAGATTGGAGGCATTTCCCCATGACTCCTGGAAACGGCCGCCCTGGTCAGTGGAGAGGCCTCAGGTGTCTGTGGTTCCTTAGTGTGTGCACACCTTGGGGGAGGCTGCTGAGGGCTACAAAACCCACCCTCCCCTGGTTTCTATATCTGCAGAGAGAAATCCAGTACAGTGTCTCAGATCTGCAGGAGCCTCCCGGTACTCTGGGCGTCCTCTTACCTGCTCTATGGGGGGACAGAGTAGTGTGTGAAGAACCGAGTGAATGTATGTTGTTGACGTGGGCACAGCCACGTCAAGGACCCCTCATGCCTCAGGTCCATGGAGGGGGCAGCGTCTTCCCCAGCTGAGGCTCAGATGAATAGCAAAGCCTTCTTCGGGTCTGAGTGTCAATGCTGATAGTGTGTGCATAAGATGTCCACCATGGCTTTCTCCCCCAAGGATGTTTCCAGACTGAAGACTGCTCCCCTGTAGATGCCGCTCCTATTGAGATTAGCTAAACCCGCCTCCTTGTTCAGTAGTACCTAAAACCCTGCCTCCTGTTTATCTGTATGTAATATACCCAGCTCCATGTTCGGATATATGCAATAACCCTGCTCCCTCTTCAACGCTGTAGAATAAATACACTGGCTTCTGGGGTACTGCAACGTCTCCATCAGAGAGCCCAGTCCATCTGGTTCCAGATTGTTTGTGTGTTCTTGTATTTGCTTTTTCCCTCTGCTCCAGTCAGGTCTGTCAGGAGTGATAAGTGACCCCTTTCCACGGTGGAATCTGAGACTTGCTGGCCCTGGAGCCCCCCAAAAGCCACAAGGCAGAGGCCCAAAGCTTCTGACTGTCTTCTCATGTCTATTTTTGTGTAAGTCTTTATAGAACGTTCAGCCCTAACTCATTATTTTATGCATGTTATTAACCTTTGAACCTTGGCTCCTTGAGGTGTCAGTGAGGTGGTCAAAGGTCAGAGGGATCAGGTCCATCTCCAGACCTGTTTGGAAATCCCTCCACACTCCACAGCAAGAACACATCCCTTAGTTATAGCCCCTGCTTGCCTTTGAATGCCCGAGGAGAAAAATGAGGTTTCCACACAGCCGCTACTTCAGAGGTATCCTGGGAGAGGCACATGCATGCTTAGGGTGCAGCCAGCCCCTAGAGACCCCAGTGAGACGGAGTCAGCCTGCAGTCCTCAGGAAGGTGGTATAGCGGACGTGCCCTCCTTCTGTTGAAGGATGTGTGGGCCAAGCAGGCAGAGAGGGTGAGCAGAATGTAAAGCCACAGACAGCACAGCACAGTGCAGCCCTGTTTGTGTTGGCAATGCGGCTGCCCAGCCATTTCCAGGTTGGGCGGCTGCGTGATGGAGAATGTAGGTCAGGGGTTTAAGCAAACACCTCTGGACCTCACACCTATGTGAGTGCGAGGAGGGGCACAGGGAGCTCCTGGAGAGCTGGTAAGCACGAAATTGTCTCTGGATGGCAGTGACGGCATCACCAGTTGTCACTTACCTTGGTGGGGCTGGGGCATGGGCAGAGATGCCAATCTGGCTGTAGAGCACGGAGCGCTGAGAACAGCCGACGGGAAGGCGGCACCTGACATCAGGCAGAGCAGAAAAAAGCAGCAGTGGAGGGAACAGAGGGAGAGGGGATGCTATGGACATGCAACACTCAAGGAAAGCTGAGCAGGGGCGAGAGGCCACCGACAAGCACTGGCCCGAAAGACCTCAGTCACAGAAAAGAAATAACACACCCCAGTCTGCGACCATAGACGTTCACAGGCTCTGTGGCAGGTCCCAGAGGCTCACGCCTGTTTTCGGGTCCCTGAAAAGATGGCTTTGTTGTCAGGGGTCCCAGAGGCCTTGGAGACACGGTGTGGAAGCCACTCACTTGTATGGTCAGGACTAGTGAACCTGCAGCCTGTAGGAAGAAATCCTATGAGCTCAAGAGGTAGGTGGAGCCACCACCCAGGCAGTGGTGTCTGTGTGTGTGTGCGCGCTTGTGCGTGTGAGTGTGTGTGTGTGTGTGTGTGTGTGTGCACTGTTCCCCAGGAGTCCCTGTCCCCTCATTTTACACTGAAGTCATCACACCACTTGACCCCAGTCCTAGCAACCCTGCTCTTGGTCAGACCTCTGCTCCTGGAGGCCTGAGATGTGAGCAGTCCTGCTTCTGGGCACGGTGGCCTTTTGTCTGTTTAGGGGCTCAAAGACACAGCCCCAAATGGAGCTCCTCTCTCTCCCCTTTGTCTTTGCTTTAACGGGATTTATTGCCTTGAGATGGTGATGCTGTGTGGATAAGAAAAACCGCTTTCCCCAGGAACCGCAGAGTGGCCCTGCGAGCCCAATTGCCTTGGTGGGAGGCCTGACCTCACTTCCTCCAGTGCGGTAATTAATGGGACAGAAGAGCAGCCTGGGAGAGCCAGGTCCCCAACAGCAGCACACACTTACAGTGCATTATTTCTGTGTAAAGAGCCCTTGGGGCCATCACACTTGCAGGTCAGCGGGCATAGCGGCCACTCTGGCTCGCCCAGTATTTACTGAGAAAACATCACATGTCTTCTCGTCTGTTCTTACACTTAATATTTGACACTAGTCCGTACAAAAAAACAAGTGGGTATTTTGAATGGGGGGGTTTCTTCTGAGTGCCAGGAGCCGTGGATCTGAGTCTGTGGTTACAGACTCCTCTTGGGGCCGTCTTCTTCTCCTTTGGTTGGGAGGCAACCGGGAGAGGGGAACACTCAGGCCAAAGGTCAGAGACCGGAGGCCCTCTCCCTACCCACAGAACTGCATCTCCAGCCCTGACCACTAGGCTTCCCTGCTTCTCCCCCCCACCCCACCCCCTTTGCTCTCTCTCCCAACAGGCAGCTCTGCCTGTGACCTTCTCACCTATTTGTTCACCAAATATTTACTGTGCACACCATGAGCCAATTTCATTCCAGGCACTTGGGACAATCCTTGAGGACAGTGAAGCAGACCAGACCCCTGTCCTGAGGGAGTTTATGTTCTGGGAGCAAATGGCAAGTATCAGTGAGCCCCAGGTGTGCTGGGAGGCGAGGGGGAAGGGCGGGAAGAGGGAGAAGGGCAGCTGTGGGCTGCGTGGAGGCCAGGGAGGGAGGGAAGGTCACTGTGGGGGATTAGATTTGGACAGATAACCTACAGGAGGGAATGGAGCTTGCACAGGGACATCTGGGGAGGAGCATGCCCGAGCCGGGACTTTGGTGGGCATGGTGGAGGAAGGCGCCGAGCAGAAGGTTATGGTACAACTGGGGCGGACCACACCGTTAAAACAAGTGGAGGTCTGAAGTCACTGTCAGCGGTGAGACTGCTCCAGCGGTTGTGGGAGGGGCTTGCTCACTGCCTTTAGCTGCTGCACATGCTCAGTGTCTCCCTTCCCGCCTCATCCTTGTCCTGGTCCTCTTTGACTTCCTCCTGTCCTCCAAGCACACTTCAGGGAGGATGGCTTGTGTCCTTCCATTCCACAAGGGAAAAGACCCAGAACTGTCTGCTCTCCCCAGCACGGCCGGGGAAGCCTGCCAATTCACGTCCTTCAAGGCCTCCACTCACTCCACAGTCGTCAGAGCAGGTGGGGACTAGAACCGATGCTTGCCTCGGTCATGAGCTCAGCTTCCCCACTAACTAGAAGCTACGAATCTCCCAGGTTTTCCCTCCTGTAAAATGGCACAGAGGGAGTGCTAACTTCTGAGGGCTGCTTTGAAGATTAAGCTGGAAGACACGCATTGCAACCTGTTGTCAATGGCACCAGACAGTGGGTTATTACTGGGGCGAATGTGTTGGTCACTATGTGGACAGTTTTAGGTTCAAGGTGATTGCAACTTCCCTCTAGTTTTGGAGATCCATCAGGTATACAGACCTAAACATGTTGACTACAGTCGTGGGAAGACGGCCCCTCCTACAGGAGCGCTGTGTTGCAAGCTCACATAGCGATGGAGACCCATAAACCACTCAGGCACATCCCTTGTAAACCCCAAGGCTCAGGATGCAGGACTGAGGTCGAAACTTCATGTTAAATAGAAAGTTTGGCAACTCAAACACCCCACACACCAGGGAAGGAAGACCTGAAAAATGGACACTGAGCAGTTAGCTGAAAACAAAAATCATTAAGTACAATAAACAATAAAATATTCAGGAGTTCTCAGGAGAAACGCATGTTATGAGGTAGATTCGAAAGCTCTGCCTTCCGAATGAGATCAGGAAAACCAACAGAGCCAGCTCCTCTTATTTCAGTTAATTTTGTGTGGCATGGAACATATGTGTGTGGGTGCATGCACACTGGAGTTCCTCGGGTATTGTCCATCTTGCTTTTTAATTTGGTTTCTCCCACTGGGGATCACTGCGTACATGGACTAGCTGGCCGCCTCTTCAGCACTGTTCCTCTACTCTAGTCCTGGGTTACCAAGTGGACACCATGCCAGGGTATTTTATTGGGTTTTGGGGTCTCAGATTGAGTCTTCATACTTGCATGGCAAGAACTTCACCAAGATAGCCATCTCCCGACCCCCCCCCCGCCTTATTTTAGTAAAGAGAAACCAAGGCATGCAAAATGGAGAATAGAAGATAGATCAAAGTATACTAAAATGGTGGGACAATGATACACTGACAATTTTTAAATCTTAGTGGAAGGAGTGATTAGTCACACACACACACACACACACTTTAAAAAACAAAAACAAACCTTTAAAAAACAAAAAACAAACTTTAAAAAACAAAAATGTAAATGAGGACATATTAAAAATTGGCTACCAAGAGACGATTTGGGCTAAATTATTTCATTTATTAACAGGATGTTAATCCCAATGATCCAAAACATGCAAAGGGAGAAGACAGAGTTTCACAGCATTTTAAATCCTAATCCCCCAAATCGACAAAAAAGGCAGAAAAGGAAACTACAACACCAGGGAGAGAAGTCTAAGAACAAGGGAACAAGACACTTGCAAAACAGTCTGCCAGACTAAGTAAACACCCAAGCCCCTCCCAGAGGCATCATCTTACAGATGCTCTGAAGGATTTCACAGGAGAAGATCCCTATTGCCTGATGTTGAGTAAGTATAGGAAGAGGAGGAGGACGGAGTTAGGAAAAAGAAAGAGGGAAGGAGGAAAAGAAGAAGAGGAAGAAGAAGCAACAGCTTTTATGACATAGGCAGAAAGAGCCAGGCGTGGAAATGACAGCGCCAAAAGCATCGTGAATAAGATTCCAAACATCAGGCAGAGCTCGGGGAATCCTGCAGAAGAGGGAGAGGAAGGGTTGTAGGAGCCAGTGAGGTCAAGGACACACAAGAAAACCCACAGAATCAACTCACCTGGGCTCACAGGGACTCACAGAGACCGAAGTGACAACCAGGGAGCCTGCATGGGACTGACCTAGACCCTCTGCATATATGTGACATTGCTTAGCTTGGTCTTCTTGGGGGACTCCTAACAGTGGGAGCAGGGGCTATCTCTGACTCTGTTAACTGCTTTTGGGACCCATCTAAACTTTGCCTCATGCGACCTTAGTAGGTGCTTAGGAGGTGCCTAGCTTCACTGCAAGGTGATATGCCATGGCTGGCTGACATCCTGGAGGCCCGCCCATATCTGAAAAGAACTAGAAGAGAAGGAGTAGACACAGAACATGTGTGGGGGGGGGGGGGCTCAGGAGAGAGGAGGGAGGGGAAACTGTGGTTAGGAGTAGACACAGGATGTGTATAGGGGGGTTCAGGAGAGAGGAGGGAGGGGAAACTGTGGTTAGGATGTAAAAACAAGCAAAAGAAACTTGGTACTTCACTGTGGCATGAAAGGGGAGGGGCACATGGAGAGGCTCACCCTCTTCCTCAACAAGGGATCCCAACTGAAATACAAATGAACTAGTAAATCGTCCCCTGCTTGAATTTAGAACCAAGTGCTGGGGAGAAGGACGGGAGGTGACCATCCCAGCCTCTCGGTTCAGTGCGTTTCTTGACAGGACGCTCTGTTTCACTCTATTTCACCGTGCCTCTTTTAAGGAGATTGTGCCTGTCGAAAGTCATCTACAAGACTCAGGGTGCCTAGAGCCAGCCGATGAGAGCTGGGGGACAGAGGCTCCAGAGCTCAGGAGAAGAGGCTCCCTTGTCTCTGCTTTGACCCCACAGGCCAGCTGTCACCCCTCAGATATCATCGTGCCTCACCTGTCTTCTTTGGAGCCCCTGCTGCTCCCATCACCGCATACGTCAAACGCTGGTCACGTGAGTGCTAAGGAGGGAGACTGAGGCAGGCCAGGCACAGGTGCGTGGGCTTGCCATCCGCGCCTTGGTACTGGGAAGCAAGAGGACTTCCAGGGAGGCGATGATGGCTTCTAGCTTCTATCTGTACAAGAGGAGCACGGCAAGAGTGACATGAGGAGAGAGGGTGGCAGGGATTGTCTTGGGGATTCCCACAATTCCTGTGGACTCCAAGGGTTCAAGACCAGGGCCAAAGATGGGGCTGCTGGCCTCTTCCCAGCACTGACAGACACGCTTTGGATCCGGAGTTCTCCAGTGTGGAACAACTCTGCACTTCATACATTTTAAGTTTCTGTTTTTAAAAATGCAGTCATGTGTGAATAAATTGCAAAGTCTGCAGTTTCTGGGATGTAAGAAAAACTTAAACTGTGGCCTTACTCTAGCCAGTTTCTTAAACTGGGGTCGATATAGAATGTGGGATCACGAAAAAATTGGCAACGATATAAAGTTTTCTCAACACATAGTGACCAAAAGCAACCTGAAGCCGAATGTGCATAATAGACGCAGTGCTCACTCATAGTGTACTGCAGAACTTCCCCGCTGCCTTAGTTATGAACACAACATGCACACTTCACACTGCAAATGTCTCATACCAGGCAAGACCAGTGAACATGTCTGAAAAGCCTCTGCTAAGACTCAAGGCTACTGCATTAGTTGCAGTAAGTTTTTATTGTACAAATCAAGTTTCCGGCATTCATAGAAATATAATGGTTTAAATATAGGAAGCAAAGACTTCTAATGTTTTCCTACCGCTGTCCTTCAGAAGGTAAGCCTTTACACAAGCATTTGGTGGAAGAAGGCTGTGGCAACTTGCTTTGTCACTTTGACACAACTTAGAACAACCTGGGCAGAGTCTCAGTGGGGAACCATCTAGATTAAGTTGGCCTGTGGGCATGTCCGTGGGGTCTGTCTTGATAACTCTTGTTGATGTGGGAAGACCCAGCAGAAGCATGGGCAGTGTTTATAGGTGTCACTCCCGATAAGAGGGCATGGAGGAGGAAGATGGTTTGGGTTTTGCTCACTCAGCTTTCACTCTTGCTGGTGAGCTCATCTACTCTGCTGCTGCCGCTGTCTGATGCTAAGCCAACATCTTTAGTCTTCGATGTGAACTGGACACAACCTGCTCTCCAGGAATCCTCCAGGCTGTTGGAGCCAGATTGGAACTGCTTAGGTACCTAGCCTCATGTACCAAGAAACTACCAGGTATTTGGCCTCTCTGGTGTGAGAAAGCTGTTGTTGCACTTCTATGATTGTATTTTATAAGCCATTGCTAAATCTCTCTTCAACATACATTCATTCTATTAACTCTGTTCCCCTGCAGAGCCCTGACCCTATACAAGGGAATTCTCTGGGAATTACCCGAGGCTGAGTCAATGAGACAGTAAGGCAAGGGAAGCTTTTGCACAGAACGAAACCAACAACTAGTCTATTTCTCCAGAAATGCCCAAGGGTGAGGTTGGGAGTAGTCAATATATAGTCCTTTCTGGCTTTGCATTAAAGGTTAAAGAGTTGGAAGGGCTTTGGTGGGAAGGAAGAGTGTCCGGGTCCTGTGGCATTTTAGCCATGGTTCTGGTTCTGTGGCATTTGTAGCCATGGTTCTGGTGTGCTTCTGGATGGCAGCAGGGTCCACTCCAGGTAGGTCAGCCCATGTTCCTTCTGGAGAACCGTCATGACACAGGTACTTGGGAGTGTAAATATGTGCCTCACAAGAGTTGCATCCAAAAGGTCCAAGTGTTGTTGTCCTTTCAATACCCTGAGGCTGGGAATT